GTTTTACCAAGAAATACTATTTACAGATGAAGCAAACTTTTCCAGAAATGGAATCAAAAATTTCCACAATAACCATATTTGGGTCGATAAAAACCCTCATGTAGTTGTAGAATTTAAGCCTTAAAAATAGTTTTCAATAAATGTTTGGGCTGGAATTGTTGGAAATTACTTAATTGGGCCCCTTTTCCTCTCAGAAAGGCTAAATCGCCTAATTATCGCCGGTTTTTAGAAGAGGATTGACCAATACTGCCAGAACAAGTACCATATTTAATTAGGAAGAGAATATTTAAATCACACATTTAAAAAACGATGGGTAAGGTTGCGGGGGTTCCAAACTATAGCCCTCTAGGTCCCCAGATTTAAATAGTTTGGACTTTTTCTTATGGGGGCATATTAAAAGTCTGGTCTGGAAAAGAGCTGAAGCGTGGATCCTTCAAGGTGGAATTAGGGATAGTAGGTAGTGTTTTTAGTGTTCATTAAACTATTTTTTCATTAGAACAGTTTTCTCTAATATTTTCTTCTGAAGGACAGTAGTTGGTAATTAAAAACTAAATATTTTGTTTTAGATAGATATTTTATTTTCCACAAAGAAAAGGTCTCGATTTAACCAGTGCAATATCTACCCAATTATCCAAAATATTATGTGTTCATAGATAGTCGCACACCACTGATTTCCTTAAAAAAAGACATTTGAATTCATTTATGAGCAGATTTGATCTCTTCATTTGTTTTAGTAGCAAGGTTTTCAGTTAAAAATAAAAAATAATTTTTCTCTGTCATATTAACGATATTGTTATGTTTTTATTTTTTTCAGCGAAAACGGTACATCGGATTGGAAAAAAAACAAGAAATTAAATCTCTTTATAAATGATTGGAGATTGTAAGAATAACTTAAATTTTAAGAGAAATTAGTGGCGAACCATCAACGTCCGTCAAAATGGACAGGTGAAATTACATACATTAAAAAAATATAATATTAAAATTGAAATATAAACTTTACTGTATCTTAAAAGTTAAGACATTTTGGATATATGCTCGTATGAAGTTTTCTTTTTAAAATGGACTCAAAAATCGCCCCTTAATTATTGACATTCGATTAGAAAACACCTTGTATATATACTTGTGCTATTTTTACAGCTAAAAATAAGGCTGCTATAGAGTTGACTAGATTAGGATTCGTAATCCAGCACCTTTTACATTTGCCAACAGACTTTCCGAACGGAAAGATTTTACGATTATTTTTACGAAGTAATTCGATAACTAAAATCCTTTTAACAAGGCCACTTAACCGTTTGCAAAAATTATCCGTAAAGCACGCAATAAAGTAAACCCTTTGACAAAAGCTCCTCGGCCTGGCGGGAAATATGCATTTACCTGCTTTTATACGTTCGCAATGCTTTCTCGGAAAGTTCCTTGCGAAAAATTTGCATTTTGCGAACTTTTTATGGCTTTTTAACTCTCTCTCCACATTGTACAACCCGGTTAGCTTCCGAAAGGAAAAACATTCGACAAATAATTTACAGCCGCTTGTAAAATGCAAATCATCTGACGTCGGACGCCCTAAAACTTGACGGCCGTGTGATATTAAGCTCTTAATATTTCGTTTTCCATTTTGAATTTCAAACCTAATGTTTTGGTATTGGTAAATATTTTAACGCACAAGACTGTGTTGATAACTGCGTTACCATGGTCCGGTTTTACTCTTCTATAAGGTTGTTCGGAAAGTCATTTCGTTTTTTCCCGTCAGAGGACTTAATTACGTTTTTTCGAAACCAACTACACACTTAAGCCGCATAACCATTATATGTCTTAGAGCCGATATTGCAAGGCTTGTGTGTGAAAAAGTTCTATTAATTCTACGCAGTAGTTTTTGGTTGGTGCCCTTTTAAATATGGAGAGCAATAAGCAGCATTTTCGTCATATTTTACATTTTTATTGCAGAAAAGGTAAAAATGCTGTCTAAGCGAGAAAAAAATTGACGGATGTGTATGGAGAAGGCGTGTTAATAGTACGCCAATGCCAGAACTGGTTTGCAAAATTTCGATCCGGCAATTTTGATGTCGAAGATGCACCACGGTCTGGAAGGCCGGTCGAAACTGACAAAGATGCGATAAAGGCATTAGTTGATGCAAATCGGCGAATAACCACACGAGAGATCGGTGAGAGATTAAATTTGTCGAATTCGACTGTTTATGGCCATTTGAAAGGCATGGGCTTAACCTCGAAGCTCGATGTGTGGGTGCCCCATGTCCTTACGGAGCGAAATTTGTGTCGTCGCGTTGACGTGTGTGATTCGCTCCTCCAACGTCAAGAAAATGTTGCATTTTTGAAGCGGATTATTACTGGGGACGAAAAATGGGTTGTATACAACAATGTTAAACGCAAGAGGTCATGGAGCAGAAAAGATGAACCGGCTCAAAGCGTGTCAAAAGCCAACATTCACCAAAAAAAGGTGATGCTCTCCGTTTGGTGGGATGTCAAAGGAATCGTTTTTTTTGAGCTTTTGCCGGACAATACAACGATTAATTCAGAAGTCTATTGTCATCAACTGGACAAATTGAATGATTCACTTAAAGAGAAGAGGCCCGAATTAATCAACAGGAAGGGTGTAGTGTTCCACCAGGATAATGCGAGACCTCACACAAGTTTGGTCACTCGCCAAAAACTTTTACAGCTTGAATGGGACGTACTGCAACATCCACCATATTCTCCAGATCTGGCGCCCTCCGACTACTATTTGTTCCGGTCCCTGCAAAATTTTTATGGATGGCAAAACCTTTACCTCAAATGAAGATGTCAAAAAACACCTGAACCAGTTTTTTGCCAGCAAGGACCAAAACTTTTATGAGAGGGGAATTATGTTACTGCCAAAAAGATGGCAAAAGGTGTTGGACCAGAATTGCCAATATATAATTTAATAAAATATTTATTCATTATACGAAAACTGTCTTTCATGTTCCCCAAAAAAAACGAAATGACTTTCCGAACAACCCAATAATTAAGCGTGAAGAAAAAAGTGCGCTTTTGTAGATGATGATCGAAATAAATATTGAAAAGGGTAACAACACTACAATCACATTTTGATTTTGTTTAATGTAGACTAGTAGTAAAGTTAACATTTACCATGTTTGATTAGACTTATTAATTACACTGATTTAATTAGTTGGTTAAAATATTTCAAAATTAACAAAAACTAACCGAGAATCGGAATTTTAACAACGACGAATTGAATCAAAAATGTAAAGTTTTGGATGACGCTGTTTTCATAAAGACGAAATCATAATTTCATTGCATAGTCTGATTCGTCCTCATTGATAATTTTTCCGACCATAAAAATGTTTGCTTTTATCAATAAATGAAAATTTTACAGTTTTAACATATTCATAAAAAAATATTGTCATCAAAATGTTTGCTAAAACAGACGATCACCACTTTCAACAAATTCCAACATCTCAAAGTATTAAGAGAACTCAAAATCCGAGCAAATTCAGGTTGCAGGATCTGCATATAATTTATTTCGTCCGAATTTGGGTTTAATTTATTTTCAACAGTTCACATGCGCATACGCAAGGTTTTATATTAGCGTTTTATAGCGTTAAGTATTTACTAATTGCTTTCAATTTGGGGAACTATTCATTCATACTTTTTAAACAACGAAGTAACGATGTATTGATTTACAGGCAATTATTTTGTATTTAAGCTTAAGTAATTTGAAAAATTCGTAGAAAACACGGTCTCAAACGAATGGTCATTTAGGAAGTACTTAAATCATATAATTTCGTTTCATTATTACTCACGATCATTTTTTTAAAGCTAAAATGTTTTTAAGATGACGACATTTCCGAAATACCATTGCATGGCAACTTATTTTAAACAGACATTGTAAATGTTTCGTTTTAGAAACAATTTACAAATTTACTTATTTACTTATTTGTAGTAACCCCAATTGTTCTGATTGTTGATTTCTGTATTTTTTTGAAAACTTTAAGAAATTTTTTACCAAATACAATGTTTTAGAAAACATTCAAAATTACTAAAATTTTTGGCGTTATTTCCAAAACAACTGACGTGTCAATAAATTTTCAAAAACGTTCGAGACAGACCAGAGAATTAGTTCAACTCTAAAGTGCATTCTCATATTCATCGAATGCTTGCTAAAAAATGTTCACGTCTTTATTGCACCTTGCATTATCAAAACTGGTTCTTAAAAGTTAGAGCTTGTTAAAATGGCCTAAATTTTATCATTCGCATATTTACATCTAGAAGTTTCCAAAGAAATTAAGTCGGCATCTTAAATACATCTTACATAGGTGGATTTTTCATTGGAAACTAATATCTGGATCGAACGCATTTGTTTTAGTTAGTTTTTTTTTAATTTTGTATATTTATTTTCCATTTGAATTTTTACTAAATACAATATTTTAGAAAATATCCAAATTACAAAAATATTTGTAGGTATTTCTGAAACAACTGGAGACGTCAATAAATTTTCAAAAAAGTCCGAGATAGAGAGCAGAAAATTAATTCAACCCTAAAGTGCATTCCCACATTCATCGAATTCGTGCTAAAAATTTTCACGTATTTATTACACCCTGTATCATCAAAATAAAATTAGGGAACGATTACTACATCCCAAAGACAAATAAACCAAAGATGGGACCTTCGGTCACTGGTTCTCAAATTAATTCTCACCAAATATTCGACTAGTTAGAGAGTTAGAGTAGAAATTGCCAATTTTTCTCGAACCATTTGCATAGTTACATCTAAAAGGCTCTAAAGGAATTAACAAAATAATAATATAAAGAATTTTCTCTTAAAAATAACAATTAAATCGCCAATTCAAATTCCCTGCAGTCTTTCTATAATAGATCGAAGTACAATCTGCTGGACATATTTTAATTGGATTTTCCGTTGGGTACTATTTTTTTTTTTAATTTGTATCGAACGAGTTAGTTACTTCCATTTTGTATTATTAATTTTACTGCATCAATACTTGTCAGTGAAAATTTATTTTTAGAATTTTGTGTTTACAGATTTCACGGTTTTTGTTGCTCTTCTTGAGCCGAATCGGAGTTATGTACGGATTTGGTCTGGTCGCTCTTGACTGTTTCGCGCTTGAATTGCCCGATAACATTGTGAGGTAATCCTGCTAGTCCCCTAAATAAGCCGCTTACTGCCCAATTCCAACTTTGCTGCATTTTCGAAACAACAGTTCCAAAACTCACGGGAGGAGCATCGCAGTGTCCATATGGATCGAACCCTGGTGCGGTGAACATATCTCTTGCGGCTTGGCAAGAAGGTGGATCCCATTTTTCGCTTTTGTGCGGTTGGGGCCCTTTCAAAAGCGCGCAAACAGTCTTGCAGAGTTCTTGGGTGTCGTCTGTTGTACCCCAGATTCCCATGTCGTACGTCACATAAAATATGCCAGCAGCTATTGCGGCCTTCGCACTAAACCCTAAAATAGTGAAGTGAAATAACAAATATATGTTTGATTGTATAAAATAGTAACTACCTAAAAGCCTTCCCAGGCCAAAACCTCTCCTACGTTTGGCTGGATCGCAAGGACACACCTTAGGGGCGCACATTTTTCGCAAATCTGCCCCAGTGCATACTTTAATACGCTTTATCTCCTGGGGGCAGTTCGAAGGTTGCACCCTTCCTTTACTGATGCATTCAATATTCCGTTCAGTCTTTGTCCCTACTGGCTGTTGGTACACTAAGAGATTTGATTTTTTGAGACATTTTTCGGCTGGATTATTTGGCTTGTCCGACATTTTAATAAATTTTGTGGAGTATGAAAAAATAAAAAGACGCCAAATGACAATGAGGTACTTAAAAGTCAATCAAATATTAGGAGTAGGTACTTCAATTTAAAATGTCATTGAACTTTAGATTTAGGTATCATGTTTTATAAAGGATACTTTAGCGAAGAGTTGGGTTGAGCTCCAGGGTAGCAACTACATACTACATTATTTCTACGACCATCAGATCTTAGGCAGCCATACAATCTTCGTCCCTTCCCCTACTATCCGATGGTTTATCATGAATTTTACCCTTATATCAGGCAGAATTATTGGTATTCATGAACCATTAGATGAAAAGCGGTCGGGATGTCTAGGAACCAATATCAATATCTGTGAATCTCCTCCAGGTGTGAAATAACTATCAGGGGCTGTCATTGTCGCATTTCCGTTCACTTTCACAGAATCAGCGTGCTCGACGATAATCTTTCGGGATTTCACTATGTTTTATCTGAACACGAAACTAGATTTTTATGAATCTGTTCTTTTTCATCCTCATGTTATAGAACATCACTTATAGAACTCACTTATTTTAGGAAAGTTCTTTCCGATATACTTAGTTTTGATTTTTTATTCTCTAGGGCAGCCCAATAACATTTCGTTTCATTCTAAGCTCACAACAAGTTGCAAGTCTCCCCCATCGAGCCCAGCCTAGCCCAGCGTAACAAGTTATTGTAAATAAGGACACCGCAAACCTCAAAAAGGAGGCTGAGAGATTCATGATGGGGGCGGATAATTGGTTTACTAAAAATAAATTAGTTATTAATAATGCTAAGACTGCTGTAACAATGTTTATAACAAATCGATAACGAACAGAACCGCTACAGACGTTAAATTTAAACGAGTTTTAAGTGATTGTTTTCGAGTATGTCTTTGGATAGTACCTTATCATGGGAAAATCATATAAATAATGTAGTAGATAAGTTAAATAAAGTAAAATATAGTCTTAGAGTACTAGGTGGGTATATTGCATGGGAAACGAAAAATTTTGAGACACATATGTGATACGGTCTTGTTATATATGGAAATTGACATAGAAAAAAAATTATTTGCCCTGAGAACTATATTGCAGTTAAATATTCGAGAGTCATGTAGGGAAAAATTTAAGGAAAATAAAATTTTAGCTTCATACAAGAGAGCATATTGTTCGTCTTTAAAAACAGAAACCTTATTGAAAATATTTTGCCTCAGGAAGTTTATAAGACCATGAAATAAATACACATATCCCAGGCACAGACTAACTATGAGTGAGGAGGGTGCTTATTATCAGTGGATTAGGTGTTAAAATAGTTTGCTGAACAACATAGAAACGACTAGAGAATTAAAAATGTTAAATGTTTAATTTACCCGTAGAAATAGAACCATGGAGTGTAGAAGATTTATGCAAAACATAATGAACAACCACTGTAATTGACACTATTTCAATGTTCAATGTTCAAGTATGCTTTGAAATAAAGATGGTTTATTATTATTATTATTATTATTATTATTATTATTATTATTATTTTAAAGTAGGGAATAGAAAAAAGGCATCATATCCTGACATGCGTAAGGGATTTGCAGTAAATTGATTATGTCCTTGATCTATGCAAAACTACCTAAATTTGATTTCATCAAAATTAACAAGGTGGACAGATTTTGTTCGACATTCTTCGTAAAATGCACCAAAGGTAAGGTTTGATCTATGATTAGGAACAAATTTATTTAAATTCCACTTCATTGTATGACTCCTACCATTGTTAAAAATATTTGATACTGAGCCTTGAGAAAACTGTCTGTTCCTACGATTAGTCGTGATGATTATTACTGTCCGTGTTTTTAGTGCCTTTTTGAATTTTAATATAATAAATACAATTTTTATCAATTCCAAAATTTCCATACTGGAAAATTGAAAATATCGACCTACAAAAGCATTAGTTCTAGCGGTGAACGGCCAAAATGCGTGAAGCTTTCCCATATATAAAAGTCAACGTAACGATCACGGCAAAGAACAAAATAAAAGCGAAAGGGGGTGTCTGAAGGGGAAAAACTCTCGCGCCAGCCCTTATCTCCTTTTTTTCGTAGTGACAGTCGTCGATATGTGTTTTAGTATCGAACGGTAATAAAATCTAAAATGGCCGCCCGAGCAAGGGTCGCCGCAGCTAGTCTCACCCCACGGAGCCTCCCCCGTGCTTTTCGGGGGATATTTTCAGGATTCGATTTTGGTTGCTGTTTCAGTAGCGTCGTCTAAGTTTAAATTGTAAACGGTTTGAACCCTTTGATTTCGGTAAAGATTCGTCAAACGAATAAGACCAAAGCAAATTCGTTAAAAATATCGAATTTCAATGTAAAACAATTTGGTTTACACCAAACTAAAATATTTAAAAAATTGTTGGCAATTTTTCACTAAACCCTTAGGAAAGTTGGAAGTCAAGTAGAAATTTGTAGAAGTAAATCCAATATATCAAAATGTTCACTTCTTTCCCGAAGAAGGTTATTTTGCACTAAACAAAAGACCGGAGAAAGAGGCCAAAGCAAAGCAAACAGAGCTTTGACACTGTAGTTCAAATGTTTAATATCAAATGTATTAAAGCAAAATGTAAATACAAATGTATATAATAATATTCCTTTATTACATCTTCGATGTTATTTCGACTTATTCATTATGTATGTAAATACACTTTCAAATGTTATTTTCAAATGCTATAAGGTTTTGAAATAGGCACCTTTATGCAAAGCTGGTCTTTTTTAAATGCTAAACACAATAAAATCATAAAAATGGGGACTTTTCAGGATTTTTTCATTTAAATTTTAACATTAATTTGCCTTGGATTTTTTTCTTTTTTAAATATCATCACAGAAAACTAAAGGGCACGTTATATAGATACATGTGTTAAAATTTATTAGCATTTCTGTTTACATATTTTTGCGTTTTTTATTTTTCTCTACTTAGGATTTTGTTCAGAGTTCATTCTATTACACACGCTAGTCAGCTGTTCCCCTGCATTTTTTAGCAATAAGATATTGATTAGACCAATTTCTTGTACTTCTTCTATTGAAATCAATAGCAAACATAGCAATATACATATACAAACATCACGTGTGACATAAAATTCAATGTACAACGGAAACGGTAAGACTTAAGTAAATATAAAATATGACAAAAATTTTCCGAGGAATTATAATTAAAATCAGAAAGTTGTCACTTGTCGACAAAAACGCAAACATCTTTTGCTTCAAAGTATTTTTTTAATATTTTTTATCATTTCTAAAATAAGGTCCAGTGTCTGACATATTAGCTCTCATATTTGTTGTTGTACCTCGGTTTCTGCAATATTCTGATATGATTTGCTTTTCATGTGCCTATCGACGCCACTGCGTCCATGAGTCATGCGGGGGTGGTGTCGCCAATAAATTAATGCTTTGACAGATGCGGGGGGTTGCATATCGGAATTAAATTGGGTCCAGGTAATAAACTATCTCGTTACTATAACGGCATTGCCGGTCTCCTTGGTGCATATTGTTGCTAAAAAGTTGAGGCAGCCATCAAAACATCATCACTAGGTTGCAACCACCAATGGGATCAAGAAATTTGCACTGTGACTTAGCTTAGAAATTTAAAGCCATTCAAATTTGTTATTAATTTCACTAAATTCTAGTTATTTAATTTGTAATAATTTTTACTAAATTGCTAAAATATTCCATAGCCCCTTGCATGTGATGAGTACGTGGTATGTAAAAATATAACTGAAAACTGTAACTCATCTTATTCTGCGAATCTGTAATTCTTTAAATTATTTAAATTTATTGGTCACTATCATTTAATTACCAATTCTTTGAATTTTAATATTATGTTATTCAAAATAATATGTAATGTACTAACTACATACAATCATGAAATTTTATGACTAGATTACACTTACAAATATGCCAAGTTAATTAGATTTTGTTAGGAAACCGCTTTTATTTCATAATAAACATTATTTGAAAAAAAAACGACTTTTGTGTAAGAAGAAACACCCTGTAGAAGTCATTACTCGAAAAGATACTAGTGGCCAGAATACTCGCAAATTGCAATCAAAATTACAGCTTACTAAGTATTCAACTAACCCAGCAATAAATTTGAATCTCGAAAACCGCTAGAGGTAGGTACAGGCAAATATTTCAAAAATCAAAATTGTAGCTACTTTTCGATATAAGCGGCAACATTGAAAATATCGATAGAGGAAACTTAAAAATCTGTGTGACCAAATTTTCAGCAAATTGCTAGGTCTGGTTTTCCCAAAACGTCTAATGTTCCATCAACTGTGAAACACCCTGTATATACATTATTGTGTAAATCAAAGAAAATCCCGTCAAAGCCTCCAAATTGCAAAAAAAATTAAATGCCTAAAATTAACCGCGCTTCAGAGGGTAAATCTAGAAGAATCGGATTTCACTTCTCTAAAAAAAGTCCTACCCACTATTTCAAAGAACATCCTCTTCCTTAAACTACCAACATGTGGACTACCAACGGTGGGTCAACAGAGTTTCTTTTCAGCAAAACCGATCATATTTATACTCTTGTTATACTCTTACGAATTAGTTTTTAACTACGCACCCTTATCTTTGTTTGTATAAAACTGGCTGTAGACGCTTTCATAAAACAAAAATAAGTATATGTAAATTTGGGATTTTATTTAATGTATCTCCTTTACCAAAAACTGGTGCCAGTGACACAGGCAATTTCTACGACCGCTAAAATTTAATGTATCGCCTTCACACTTGTGTCTGGTTTCATTTCGGTAAAACATTTTCATTATCGGCACACACAGACTACCTAAAGATATTTGTGTACCGTTGCATTAGCGGTCATTAAGTCTTTGTGATGATTGGATGTCAACTTTTGCCTGTCAACGCGATTGTTAGGGAAGGAAAGGACTTTTATTTTGGCAACTTGATCTTATTCACTGACTGCTTCCTTAGATAAAGTTTTATATATTATATCGCAATAAATTGCGGATTAAGAAAAAATCTATTTTGAGAAAAAAAATTTCCTACAG